CAGGAACAAATCTCAATGCTGGAACACTTTTATCAAAAACGGCGTTACCTCAAGTCGGAAGAGCGACCGGCTTTGGCCAAAAGGCTGAATATTACAGAAACACAGGTAAGCAGACATACTGTAATTTTTTACTGATGATTTTAAAGTAGCATGGTATATGAACTGACAGACTGATATCAGCGTTTAGGTTCGTACCTCAGGATTTTCTTCAAGATTACTTTGCAGAGTTTTTGAGACCTCTACAGCTATAGATTTATTTTAGCCAACAATTTATTATTAGGCTAATAGTCATAGACTTTGATCAATGTCCCTTCTTGCACCTGTGACCATTGCATCGAAAGACTTTCTGCTTGAAAGCATATTATTTTAAATATTACCACCGATTGTTCATGAATTTTGAAAGCCACGAGATGGGATTATGTTTTTTTGCTATTTTATTATCGTGCAATTTAGATAAAAGTTTGGTTCCAAAATCGTAGGTCTAAGGCCAAAAGAAAAACGCTGGTACCGGATTCCTGCTTGTACCTGACAAAAGGAAAAAGTTTTTTGCCGTGGATAAATAATCACACTCAAATATCTACAGCAACGTTGCCTGCGTTACCTGACGCTGTGCGGGGTCTACCCGCTATGCAGTTCTTGCCATCCTACAGCTCTGAAGAAGCCTACATACAGCAGTAGATGAATGACAACAGATTATTCATGAAGGAAGTCCCATCATGTTGAATTTCAACGTTTGTGATTTACATGTAATTTTGAATAAAGTTTTGTTTGCTAGAATGAAACATATGCATTTCACGTTTTACGGATTCAACAAATCTTGAATTCGGTTTGCGTGATTCAAATAAGAAACGAAATTATCAATCAATAATTTGATCATAGGCTAAACTGGCTACCAAGATTATTCTACATATTCTCAAAGTTCTCTGTAACCGAGAGAATACAACACGACGACTGGTTATTTGTCGGTTAATACACATAATTAGCACTTATGCTTTAGTTACAGAAACAGTTCTTATTGAACGAGATTTCTTCGATGGAATGAAGGTAACATGGGGTTTCTCAAAGTCAGCGTATCACAATCCAATTTGGTCTTGCATTTTATTCCTTAAATAAAAAATTTTTTATGGTTTTCTCACACATTCAAGATAACAGAGTTGGAGCCTGCTGAGATGAATGTTTTTGCAAAGCCACATGCTAGGCATCCAAGTAGCCGCCCATTTAGAAGCAGATGCGAAGATGCGTAGAATGCATGACCTTCATTGTTATCGAATTAGTAAAGTTGGAGTAATTGACAGAGGGAACAAAGAGCAGGAAACTGTACTAAAGCTATTAAAAAAGTAAATCATAAAAATGTTGTAATTATTCATAGTCTTTTATTTTCTGATCAAACATTCGATTATCAGTACTATGATAAAATATCTCTATGTCTTTGAATGAATGATGTTCGGAAATAAAGCGATGGTCCGTTAGTGGGAAAGACAAAAGAAATGCGGCTTCGTAGAGCATTCCAAAGTTTCAAGAACGCCATCCTCTATTATATCAGAGAATGATATTTATTGTTATTAGCCTATACGAACATTGTGAAAGAGAAAAGCAGAAAAAATTTGTGATTACCGCAATTGAAGTGACGCCGGAATATCTGCCGATCAAAGCATGAAGGGGAAATAATTTAAAAAATGCGACAATAATTGATAATTATTACTGTATGTTCTCTTGCTATAGGGAAGAAATTAGAGTTAAGGTTAACAAAGTACAAGCATTACCATGGTGGTGAATTTTGAAATGTATAAACGGCGTTGGAGCTGCGCTGTTGCCGGTGAGAATGGAGGAAGGACAGCGATTGTGAAGAGGTCTCCCGTACAACTAAGTCATCTGCCCCTAATGATATTGTCATCAGCAGCAACTGTACGGATAATCAGCTGTGCGGTCAGCAACTGTGTGTGAGCAGATTTACGTGAACCAGGGCGAGGACTATGTAGTGTAGGAGAAGTGCAGACGAGAAGGTTGCGGTTTGCAGACCACCTTGTTTTATTGGCATCTTCTGAAACTGATCTTCAGTGCTCCCTAGAAGGGTTGCAGCCGAGTGTG